TGTAGTAGATACAAACTCAACGAAAATATAGAAGTTATTAGTTGAGTTAAATTCTCAATTTGGCCATTTAATTATTATTCAGACCTTTAAATTAGGTTTTAAATTAAAAGAATTCTAATTTGATTATTAAATTTTTTAAATTTGACTTTAAATTAATTTTTCCTTTAACTTTCTACGGAGGTAGCACATTAATTGCACTTGGCCCTCATGACCCAACAATCATAGGCCGGCTTGTAAGGTGCATCCCAACCCGAGGGTTGGGGTTCGAATCCTCTCACCCTCATATTTGTAACATTGGTCAAAAAAAAAAAAAAAAAGAACAACCAATAAGTAGAGACATTTACCATAAGTGAATCAACAAGTTGCTAATAGCTTTTTCTATCAACTTAAGCATCAAAAATAGAAACGCGAGTGATTCAGTTGATGTTCCTATCAAGAACAATTTCATCACAGATGAGAGATCATAAGAGTAGTCTACTGGAAGATCTATTTCTTTCGTTTATAATAATATCATGAAAACTCAAAGCAAGCTTAACGAAATACACTTGTCAAGAAAATCAAATACAGTAACAAGCGAACCTATGTATGCTCAGTCACATTCAGCTAAAATAATGGTCCATAAAAAGCAAGGATAAACCACAATTGGCTTGCACTAGATCTCGTGGAATACCTTCAACTCATAAGACATGGGAGTAAATAGTTGGTCAATTTTTTCCTGTTTGATGTTCATATGGACATAAAATGATGCAAGCCCACAAAAGCTGTCAATGAGAATGTCATGGTAGCCCAATCAGGCAAAATCATCAAGCATGTTTGAGCCTCGTAAGGGTAACAATTCATTAGGCCCAGCATAGCAACCAGCATCTTAACAACATCATAATCCAAGTCCCTGAAATAGCATATTGTAACAGGATAAGCAAAAATCATGCATCAGATGGTATGCAAAAAACTCTAAACTGCATAAAAACCATGTTATCATTACAATATAAAGTAAAAAACTCTGGTTTGGCAGTTTTTTATAATCTGTAAAAGTAGTTTCTGAAATGATATCTGAGTTTTAGTTTTTTAAAGAGTCAGTGAATATATACTTTAATGGGAAAAATATTAAATAAAAAGGCTTCAGAAGGGAGATGAACCAGATTGCAGAACCAGTTTCATCAAAATTGACTAGCCATTCCTGGCATATACAACAACTGATGCTTGAAGACCACGGTCCACCTTGAAGTGAGCATGGAAAAATCTTCTTGTCTGCATTTGTGGCACAGAATCAGCTTGAAAGGAACAAACTGTCACTTCTGACAAGCAGTGCAAACAAGAGAAACTTGATAAACAAAAAAACAAAATAAGCCTGTACCTCTTTGAAAGAATGAATATCTAGAAACTCTCTTAACTGCTTTTCCTCTGAATCAAACAATACAATGTGACTAGGTAGGAACCAATTTTTTGCAAAATTGATTGCAAAACCGATGGGATCCATCATGAAACGGTCTGACTCATCAGGCTCAGAGATTCCTTCTTGTTCTCTGTTGAACAAAATGCCAGACAACAATAAAAATGAAAAAGTAACTGCAGATGAATAGACCATGATAAGAACAGTTATTCAAACAGAATTGCCAGAGTTTAACCTTGGTGAGCAATCCAGAATGCGCATTGGCAGGTCACGATGCAAACGGGAGTAGTAAGGCGTGGCGTGGCAGGGCATTAGGAAAAGTATACTTTCTACCTTCTCACTCATTGCCTCTTTAGATAGATAATTCATTACATCCTCAGTTCCCCTCTGTCTCACAATTCTTAAAAGTAAGCATCAAGAGAATCAAACTAAAAATAAATAGAAAATCCATCAAGACAATTTACCAGCAATTTTGTTGTTGATAAAAGAAACAGAAAATTTTGTTATTTGTACTACTTCACATTTAAGAATACAAAGAAACAAAAAAAGAACATATATAATCAGTAGCAAAGAAGAATGGGGATGGGAGTTACAGAAGCTTCACGTGCATCAATATGGTAGTTGATATACCTGATGAACTGAAGACATATAGAATGCCATTGGAATATTGGTAGCAAGCAAAAACAAGATAGCCATTTGCCTTTTTGAAGGCCATTTGCTGTTAATGTTTGAGGATCCCTTTCTTTCACCTTTTGAGGAATCACACTCTTGAAGTGTGGCTAACGAGTACCCAGAGAATATTAAAGCTACTGGAAGCACAGGCAAGACAAACCTAAGGGAATGAGCCAATTACAAGGTTACATGACCAAATATTTAGAAAGGTTAAACAAATATACACAAAGCATACATTATTCAGATGGACAAACCTGAATTCTTTATGACCTAGTACACTGTAAAGACCTAAAACCCATGCAATGAGGCCAGAAAGCTTCCAATATTTTGAATTGATTATGCCAGTGATTGAAAATGGCAGAAAAGTGAATACCATGACTGGAAAGCCCTGAGTGAAGTACCAGTGCCAATTGTGAGTTCCATAATAATCTCCACCGGAGGAAAGAAAGTTGAACTTTAGAAAATGAAGAGGTACTATGACCCATGAGCCGTACATTAGACGATCCAGTAAACAGGCAAATCCAAGCACCAAAGCCCTAATCACATATGGGAAAAAAAATTACATGACCATCTGCAAAGAAGAGAGTTAGAAAGAACTAAAATGCAACAGATAAATCATAGATATATAAATGACTGTTTTGTATGTAATTATGTATCCAGCCAATGGAAGGCAACAGGTTAAACTAGCCAAAGTTATGTAATTTCAGTCAGCTTAGATTGATCTCTCCCTCTCTCCCTCCCTCCCTCCCTCCCTACTGTCCTGCGTAGTTAATCACAAAGACCTTCTAGCTAAACACCAACCTCAAAGAGATTATTCAACAAAAATTCAAAGGATCTTATTGATATAATTCATTAATTCAATAACAATGGAGGGAAAAACAAGGAAACATTAGAAACAATGGATAAAGAAATCATCAGGAATACCAGGATAAAACGGCCATAAAATGGTTGCAAAGACAAAAAAAGGCAATTATTGTAAACAATACCCACCCAATGGGAATCACCTCCAGAAGAATAAATTTCAGTCTTCCCTGGGTCAAATACAGCTCAAGAAGCCCAACATACACCCATGTAATGGCACTTGTTGGTCTAATTGCACAAGCCAGTGCAGCAACAGCCAAACCCCACTTCCTTGAGTGCAACGGAATGTTGCTTGAAGAAATTCTCATACAGGGCCAGTGGTAGAGGCCAACAAGAGTAAGGACAGTCTCAAAACTATTTGATAATGTCCGATTGAAACAGAAGAACATGAACCAATTTGCCAATTGAGAAAACAGCTGCAAATGAGTTAAGTACATCACCCAACACAAATCTCAAGATGGCTACAGCATTCTCTTTTGTGCTTTCTAATGACAAAAGCAACTAGAGAGGTAGCTTGATTGAAAGATGAAAAGAAAAAGAACAGAGAAAATAGTGTTTTGATTCATAGAGAACATATGGTAATAGGATACTGCCCACTTCGCAACACAATGACCAAAAAGGACATGAGAAAGCTTGTACAAGTATAAATCACCAACTGCAGAAAATACAGATTGCAACAGCCTTGGAGCCTTGATCTAGGAAGCATAAAAAACAGAATATTAGTATGTGTTAGAATCATAACAAATAAACCATTATTTCATGAACAGGCAGAATGTCATTTATGGATGTTATGAAAGTAAACAAAATAGATGTAAACAAACTTATTGAATGTTATGTGTGGTTTAGTAGTTTTTTCTCTCACAGCTAGCAAAATTACTGAGCAAAACAAAAGGCAAAATATGGTTCTGTAAAGAGATAGCTAATTTAATTGTAAGGTTCAAGTTCCACTTGTCCTCAAAACCCCCCCTTTTACTATCAACCAAACTTATATTAGTATTCGGAATAGAAACACTTAAACAAGAGAAGCAGTTATTAGGAGGATACTGATTAATAAAGCAAAAGGACCAATAATAAGCAAAGAAAACTATTGAACTCTCTCAAACATTTACCACATCAAAGTTTGTGATCATTAAACACAATGGATATATGCTTTCCTTCAATTTAAGAGATGCATATGTTGTTTGCATAAGTCTTAAGACACTAAAGTTAACACATAACCAGACATACCAAGAAGAGCAAAATACACAAACCCAAAACTAAATCCAACCCAAAACAACGTCTGATGACACTAATATGTTTGCAGAAAGAAAAGCCAAAATTACCATAAACCAAGGCGTATCAAGACCCAATAAGGCTAGAACTTTGTAAAGGAGTGCAAACAGCAACGGGTGCAAGTAGCTACGAATTCCCTTCTCCCATTCCCATGTCAAATGGCCATACCTGTCACATCATTCAAAAACATACCCTCGTCACACACCCATCTCTTATTCCTCTTAGATACCAAATTAGGACTTCCAGTATGTGCAAAAATCAAATTTGCCTCAATTTCCAGGTCTAAACAACTAAAATGCAAATTCAAGAATGGGCATATGAAAAAGAAAAAACTTTTACCCAAATACTATGCGATGCGCAACTTCGAGGGCTTGCCAGTGCTCATCTGGGTTGAAATAAGTCTGAATAAACAACGCATTTACTATTCGAAAAGCCAAACAGAGCGCAAAGACTCTCTTTGTATTTGAGAATTTCTTTTCTTCTTCCTTGTAGAGATTTGGGTTCTCAATGGCTGATGAAACCACACCACCACCATCTTTCCGTCGCTGTCTCATTTTCTCTCGCGGTGGAAACTGCAGAGCTATCAGCCACAGGACCTGTAAAATTTCACCGTGGCTGTCCAAAGAGTGAAATACCTAATTAACCCCTTTACTTGTCATTGGTTACAATTTAGTCCTTGTATGGGTTTATTTTCAAAAGTGCACCATTTGCACTCTGAATTGTAAAACCAAATCTATTAAATGAGGGAGAATAACTTCAAATTTCAGGAAGCTTGCAACCATTTAATTATTTAAACTGTATAATTTAAATAATATAATACTTTTTATATTTTCAATTTAAGTCTTGAACTTTAAAATGAAAATCTCTCCTCTAAATTGTTATAGAGATCTTAAATTTAAGTAGTAAATATGTGGATACTTTTTGTTAAACACAAATACATATCATAGGTTTCACAAAGAAATAAAAGAATAGTAAGTATAGTTTCTCAAAATGTTCATTTTCTACCTATCCTTTAAATGTTAAAGATTATTAAAGGTCTTATAATGTATGTCAAAAAAATGAATTTTAGAAATTATTTTTTATATTTTTTTATATTTGATAACCATTTGAAAAATAAATCCACAAAAATAAGTTTAGTTAATAAAAAAAATTATATTTTTTAAAAAGCAACTTTCATATAATTTTTTCATATTATTAAGGTTCATTTCCTACCTACCATATAAATGCAAAGGGTAATCATAGATCTTACTCACTAGGTAAAGAATTTCTTAGACAACAATGACCCTCATCACAACTAATAGGTTAAACTTTCTTAATTTTGTCCCTTAATTATTGTGCAGACTCTTAAATTGATTTTTGAATTTTTTTTAGTCTTTAAAATTTTTAAATTTGACTCTAAATTAACCCTTTATTTATTTATTTATTTATTTATTTTCTTGTGTGTTTTGTTACGTTAACATGAGAATGACAACATGTCAAAGAGTAAAAATTCTGCTGTATCCCGGGGATACCGCTGACGTGGTATCCTCGGTCAATCACAGTGTGTCAAGCTATTATTTTTATTATTAATTGAGTTGACATGGCTAATGAGGTGGAGAATTTTTTGATGACGTGGCATGCTGTGATTGGCCGGGATACAGCAGACTTTCTCGTAAAAGAGAGATGAAATG